GTGCAGTATAATGTGGTTATCTGAGAAGGACATGATATAAATCATCTGTCCATCAACTGCAGACAGATCCACACTATACACTTCCTATATAAACAAAAGGAAATTACTGATAGGGAGAAATTTCCCGTCAGTTCCTTTCCATGTTCTCATCGTGACCGCAACGCGCAGTATGCATTCAGCTCCCGCGGAAGCTAAACACGCTCCGCACAAACGCTAGATTACCTCGGAAATCAAGCGAGAATGGAAACCGCTGCTGCGAATACGTTGCTATTCCCGCGAGAGAATGCACTCATGCAATAGCCATCTACAAACTCGGGTAAATGGTGAAGTACTCACCTCCCCCTCAGTAGTCCCGCGAATGCATCACGATGAGCACAAGCAGTCTCGTCGTGAGATGAGCTCGTTCAATTCATGCTTATCCCTCACAAGAAATAAGCAATGCAGAGCGCATCCAACTCCCTCGAGAGCTGAAAGCGCTTGCTCTTCACCACACACACACACAGCACGCGAGCCGTGTGAAACTGCAGGTATCGGAGCAAAGCCTCTGGCAAGAGAACATGCACTCCTTGTCGTGCTTTGCTTAACACTAACATAAACAAACGGTCAGTGAAGACGAAGAAGAGAATGACATTTTATCCCGGCGCCCTTTTATACTATCGCGCATGGTAATGACGTCATAGGCTGTCGCCGGCCAATGTTATTGTCTTTTTTAGATGTATGCTTCAGACACCGGTCACGCTGAAGGCGTTCCCCATAGCGACCCCTAGAGGACGCAGTTCGAAGTTCCCTCGAAAGGGAAGAATGATTGTTTTCAAACAGGTTTCCTCAAACAACCACCTGTCTGCTATTGGTTGGATTAACAGGTTAGCCTCGCCCATTGGTTGAGCCGATGTTACTATTTCAAGCTGGTGATATACTAAAATTGGCATAGACAGTGATAAAAGCTTGATAATTCAATTTTAAATAAAAATCAATTAATGCAAAATGTAATTTGCCGGTCAGTACAATTTTTTAATGTAGCCTGTTTCAAAGTTTTTATGCTCACTGAGGCTGCATTTATTTGATCAAAAAATATAGTAAAAAGAGCAATATTGTGAAATATTATTAAAATTTTAAATAACTGATATTCTATTTGAATTTTAAAATGTAATTTATTCCTGTGATGTCAAAACTGCATTTTCAGTATCATTACTCAAGTCTTCATTGTCACACGATCCTTCAGAAATCATTTTAATATTCTGATTTGGTGTTCAAGTAACATTTCTTATTATTATCAATGTTTAAAACAGTTGTTCTGCTTAATATTGCTTAATACTGCTTAATGTAACTATAATGCACTGAGTTTTTGCAATATATTTATCAGGGTTCTTTGATTTAAAGAAAATAAAAAACAGCACTTATTAATAACACTTATCTTGAAAATTTTAGGAAAAAAAACGTTTTTTGCTGAAAAATACAGAACTTTTTATTTGTCTTTATCCATAGGCGACATATAAACTGACTAATATTCTGATAAAAAATAAATACATACATGGACATTGGACACACATAATACATGCATATATACATAAATACATTTATAAATAAATATTTTTATTTAAAATATATACAGATTCAATATTTTATATATTAACATTCAACTAGCTTATTTTTCCATGTCATTTTACTCTGCAGCTGCATCATCCAATGAAAATGAGGAGAGAGTGTTCCGTGAGCGGATGCGTCCACGCAAACGTCAGGGAGCTGTCCGAAGGCGCGTCCATCAGGTCAACGGTCACAAGTTCATGGCCACCTACCTGAGACAGCCCACCTACTGCTCCCACTGCAGAGATTTCATCTGGTAGGACCCTCAGCGCCCCTCACCTGTCGCCCTTTATCTCATTCACAACAGCTACATCTATCCAGGACTACCTTTATTATAAGATCCCTTTCAGACATATAAAAGCTTTTGTTTTTGTAATTTTCCAAGACAATGCGTAATGACACCTGATGTTAATCACAGGCACTCCTCTTCATTCCAACAAAAGAGTTTTAATAATGAATATTAATATTGAAAGCAAATTAGATTGTTCTTTATGCTTGTGTGGAGGGCCTAAAGGGATGCATTTATAGATTAGACAGATGTTTATTTTTATCTCTGCAAACAGTTCCTTCCTGTAGAGTAATAACTGTTAGGTCTAACTATTTGCATACCTGGTGAATAGTGCATCTGTGTGGCTCCACACAATGCTGCTTGTTGCCGCTGACACAATCAGCTGTAGATGCAGTGTCTTTGTTGTAACACAACATCCCCTCTGCTGGTCAGAAACAGAATTGCACAATCTTGCAGTATGCCACATACAATGCTTAACACATTTATTTCACTCTGGTTCTGCAGGGGTGTATTGGGAAAACAGGGGTATCAGTGTCAGGGTGAGTAAGAATCTTCGCTTATATACAATGACAATAAAATCAATTATAATCTTTCCTCATTTGATAATCCAATCTTTATCTTTATCTATATATACTGTATATATATATATATGTTTTTTTAATTACCTTTAATATCTTTTTGCCTGTTCCCCAAATCTCTCAGTGTGTACCTGCGTGGTCCATAAGAGATGCCATGAGCTCATTATAACAAAATGTGCTGGCTTGAAGAAACAGGAAGACACTCCTGAAGAGGTCAGTTCTACATTCTTGCTCTCTCAAGCTATGTTTGAGTTTGCATACTTGTATTAGTTTCTGAAGTATGTATACTTCACGTTATGACCTAATACATTTGCCAGTATGTTCACAATTATCACAACAGAAAATAATGTGAGGAATACTGTTTCCCAGAATACGATGCACTTATCTTGACCTTGTTTTTACAGTGTGACAAATTATATCAGCAGCATTCTTCTTTCTTTCTTGTTATTTTTACTTAAAATTTTGTTAAAATGTAGTTGTTGTATTACTGAGACGGGACACCACACATAATATAACATGAGATAATGTGACAGCATTTTGTAAATGTACTGTAGGAAGATCATGAGGACTTTTTAAAATTTCTAATGTTAACCTAGAGAAATGTGCGCTGTTCAAGTGTTTGTGCGTTTGAGTGTGGAAGCTGAACAGTAGCTCACTGCAGGATGGAGGTGCCGGTGCGCTCACTTGATCTTAAAATACTCCGTAATTTTTGGTAATACAGATAAATGCAATACATCTTTCGAATCTGTAAAGACTCTACGTTTATTACATATTCATAATCATTACTTCTGCCGGTGCGCTGTGGCAAGCTTTATGCGTGTACTTGAGCGCTTATTTGGGCTATGTAGGCAATTAAAGGCTCATTATAATGATTTAAATGGTTTATTAATAAGCGTGCGATTAGTCGACTAATGCTTCAAATGAACGACTACTTGTCGACCAGAAAAATCCTTAGTCGAGGACAGCCCTAAATGAGACATACTATTTTATTTTTTTAGAAATTGTAGGTAGTGTACTGTACAGTGTATACTGTGTTGTTTTTCAGTATGCTAGTATTCTAACAATAGCCTATGCAATGCTATTTTAATATTATTTTAATATTAATTAATAGTATTATTATTGTAATATTTTTTTGTTTTTGTCATTTTTATTAGTTTTTTTTTTCTTTTATATTTATATTTACCTTTCTTTTTTTAAATTCCAGTTTTAGTAATTGTAGTACTTTGGCTTAAACTTATTTTATTTCAGTTATTTGCCAAGGCAAGATTTTTTAAATGTACCTTGAATTTTTCAGTTTTAGTTTTTCCCATCTAAATTTATTTAAATGAAATAATAAACAAATAATTTAGTTAACTAATAATGAATCCAGATTTTTCATAGTTTTAGTTAACAACACTGAGCCTCATGTGCCTAAAACTACTAAAACCTCTGCAGTATTTCCTCGTCAGAGTGATCAGTTGAATTGTGGGTATTGTGGCATGAATGATGTTTTGTTTTTATAGGTTGGCTCCCAGCGCTTCAGTGTAAACATTCCACACATGTTCAGCATTCATAATTACAAAGTCCCCACCTTCTGCGACCACTGCGGCTCCTTACTTTGGGGACTGATGCGGCAAGGCCTGCAGTGCAAAGGTAAGTGTTGTGAAAAATCATTTTGTTCAAGAATCTAATGTTATTGCAATGTATTCATTTCTGTCTTCTCGCCTGTTTTCAGCCTGTAAAATGAATGTCCATCGGCGCTGTGAAAGTAATGTAGCTCCTAGCTGTGGTGTCGATGCCAGAAAAATTGCTAAAGTGCTTTCTGATCTCGGGGTGACGCCAGATAAGATCTCCAACACTACCCAGCGCAGGAAAAAGGTGAGCGGTCTAAATATCTGAGGAATGTGGGGAGGCCAGATTGGAGCATGGATTGATGCAGTAATCTACAGCCCACAAGCAAATGAGTTACGAAATACTGTTGCTCATATCACATGAGAAAAGCACATTATAATGGGGCACATTATAAGCAGGGGAAAAAAATTAAAGTATGATCACTTAAATTATAAATAATGATGCCGTAAAATGAGGCCAGTGACAATTGTGACGATGATGGAAAGGATTAGAGTGAGAAAGGCATTAAAATATTAAAAACATTAGTAATGATATTAAAAATGTTCTCTCTTTAGTTGACTCCAGGGCAGGACCCTCAGCAACCCACAACAGAAGCCCCCACATCAGAGGAATCTGACCGATGCAAATCAGCTCCAACTTCACCTTGCGACCAGGGTACAAAGTTACACACACTCTCACACGCTCTGCAATCTTAGTCTTTCATTACTACATATTCATAATTTATTTGCACACTTAATGGGATAGTTAATCCAAAAAGGAATATTCTGTCATTTATTGTTCTAAATCTGTACGTTTTTTTCTTATGTGGAACACAAAAGGAGAAATTTTGAAGAATGTGCTGGATGCTCTTTCAATTTGAATTTCAATTATATTGCTATTACAATGAATGGAGCTTCAAAAGTGATTTAAAAGCACAATAAAAAAAATCACTGCATTTGATTTTGTGTGAAAAACCGCTTGGACCATCTTTATAATTTTATCCAGTATCATTATTTAAATTAAATTAAATTAAATTAAATTTCTCCTTTTGTGTTTTATGGAAGAAAGAAAGGAACTCATACAGGTTTAGAGTGTGAGTAAATGGCAGAATTATCATTTTTGAAAGGTGGAACACAAAAGGAGAAATTTTGAAGAATGTGCTGGATGCTCTTTCAATTTGAATTTCAATTATATTGCTATTACAATGAATGGAGCTTCAAAAGTGATTTAAAAGCACAATAAAAAAAATCACTGCATTTGATTTTGTGTGAAAAACTGCTTGGACCATCTTTATAATTTTATCCAGTATCATTATTTAAATTAAATTAAATTAAATTTCTCCTTTTGTGTTTTATGGAAGAAAGAAAGGAACTCATACAGGTTTAGAGTGTGAGTAAATATTGGCAGAATTAATTATTCCTTTAAGTCTAATGTTAATGTTTGTCTATTCGTAGCGGAGCTTGCAGAACTGGAGAGTATCCGCAAGGCCCTTTCATTCGGCCAGGAGCACAAGTTTTCCTCCTCTTCCGCAAGCAGCGGCGTTCAGAGCACAGCGACCGAGGGCCGGGAGAATGGAGATGTGATGACTGTCCAGACCAAGAGAATGAGTCTCACCGACTTCTCATTCATCAAAGTGCTGGGCAAAGGCAGCTTTGGCAAGGTGAGTGTTTTTCACAAATCAGTACTTTTCAGATTTGCTATAGGAATCAACATCTTCACCTTGCCCTTTCCATGCTGTAGGTGATGCTGGCGGAGCTGAAAGACACAGATGAAGTTTACGCTGTGAAAGTATTGAAGAAAGACGTCATCCTTCAAGATGATGATGTGGACTGCACTTTGACAGAGAAACGCATTCTAGCCCTGGCTAGAAAACATCCCTATCTAACCCAGCTATTCTGCTGCTTCCAGACAAAGGTAAAACAGTCACTATACCAAGATCCGATTTCTCGCTAATCCAGACTCAAGATTAAACACTTTAGATCTACCGTCTTTTTCATGTCACCTTCATACCGTTCCAAATGCAGTATTACTTTCTTTCTACCCGTGAAAAAAAGCGAGATTTTAGACAGATTGTCCACACTTCTGTTGGCCATACCATTAAAAGTGGATGAATTTATACTGTCAAGTTCCAAAATAGAACTTCATGCATTGATTCATAGCTCTAGCTCTATGCAATAATTCATAGTCCATACAACTTGTATACCTCATTCCAAGTCTTCTGAAGCCATACAATAACTGTATGTGTGTAAACTAACCAAAAAATGTATTTGAACTATTATTAAAAATATCGCCAAGTCTACAATAAAGTTTACTTAATGCATTAGGTATCATGAACTAAGAATAAATGGATTTATTCTACAAGGCTACTGTTTATTTCTATAGACACTACCAGTTAAGGCTCTATAATCTATAAATATTTTTTTAAAGAAATCTCTTATTACTCACTAAGGCTGCATTTATTTTATCACAAATACAATAAAAATAAAAATTTAAATATACTACAAATTAGTTTTCTTATGATGGTTAATTTTCAGGAGCCAATAATTCAGTCTTCAGTGTCACATAGTCCTTCAGAAATCATTGTGATGTGCTGATTGGGTGTTTAAGAAATATTTCTTATTATTATCAATATTGGAAACCGTTTTTGCTGCTTAATATTGTGTGTAAACCATGATACATTTTTGTCAGGATTCTTTGATAAATAGAAAGTTCAAAAGAACAGTATTTACTTAAAATAGAAATATTTTGTAACAATGTAAATGTTTGTTAACGTAATATATCCTTGCTAAATAAATGTATTCAGCTCTTTCAACAACAACAAAAAAAAACTGGCCGACTCGAAACTTTTGAACTGTAGTGTATGATAATGAAGTTTTAGCATTCGAAGCTCATGGCACCTAATGCATTAACTAATGTTCACAAATCGAAACTTGTAAAGTTTTATGGAAATAGCATGTAAAAATCTCAATGTTTTCTCATAATCCAGCAGATGGCAGAGCCACACATTATGACTTTATCAGGATTTCACTGCTAATACCAGACGTTGTCCAGGAGGTAGCAGTGTGGCCTCTTTCTGATGGCTAATGTGTGTAGATCATGTATCGCAATGTGGTTTTAGGTGACAGTCTGTTGAGTTGTTTGAAACTGAATAAAAAGAGAGAGAGGTCTGTTGAGGTTATGAAACCTTTAGCACTTTAAAGTGGTTTAGGATCCTAAAAAGTTTTTATTTTCTAAGTAAAAAATGACACCAGCGTGTGAATTAAAAATCGCTGAAATATGTCCAGTATGTTAACTTCTTTGAATTTCTTTTAATCACAAGAGGTGCCGAAACTTCTGCACACAACTGTATTTACGGATAGGGAAGGCGAGTTAAAGTGGTACTCGTTCTGTCAATGAATTGTGCTCATTAAAGACTCTGACATCCTTTTCACCCACGCTTTTATCACTCTCATCTTCTGTCTCTTTTCACCGTCCTTCTCTATTTTGCACTTTCACTTCTTTCCGTCTCTTGTTCAGCTTCCCCTCCCATGCCCCAGTTACACTCACAGTGATATCTAGTGTCCTCATTTCTCTTTTTACCGCCCCCTCTCTATCTCCCCTCTCATTCTCATTTGCCCACATCTGAGAACACACACACACAGAAAGAGTACAATACAAGAGATGCAAAAACGAAGGGTTGGAGGCAGTAGTAGTGCGGAAAAGGGGCAGAAAGTAGAAGGAAGACGTGATTTGGGGGGGAAAGAGGAGTTGTGTACTCTTTTTGAACTGCTGCCTCTGGTTTTAATCAGCTTTGGGATCGCAGCCATATTCTTATCAACTGTAATTACGCTGTAGAAATGTAAATAACATTACACAACTGTTTCTGATGAGGCCTGTTGGGACCGCGGGCATGCATGCTCCTGCAGATAAAAAATAGCCAAAAGAAGGGGCCATATAGAAGGACCATGAGGAGGATTATGGAACATGTAAAGTCTGAATGATTGCCTGGGAAAAGAGAGAGGCAGAAGAAGGAGGGGCAGAGGGTTAGCTCATGCTACAACAATTTAAAACTACAGATAAACAACAGTTAAAGTACTCATTCATCCAAAAATGAAAGCTCTGTCATCATCTACTCGCCCTCACGTCACTTGTTATATTATGACAGCTCTTTATTTGATATATTATTATTATATTACTAATAATATATTATATTATATTAAAATTTTACCTAACTTTCAGTGATAAAAAAATAGCCTAGTGATTTTAACAAATATATATATAAAAAAAAGACTATTATATTGAAATGTGTTTTTATATATTAATGAGTAATATATTATATGAAAACCGTATCTTAAGTTCCAATAATAAATAAAAATGAAATAAAGAATTCTAGCCTAATTGGTCATTAATAAATTAAATAATAATTTATAATATATTATATTAAAAATGTTATTTAAATTCTGATAAAAAATAAAATAAAGAATTAAAAACTATTTGTTTATTAAAGAATATAAATTATGACATTATTGTATTATATTGTATTAGCTCTGTTATTGTTTAAAAATGCCTGGCTTAAAATGAACCAAAAATAGGTTGTAAACTAAAAATCAGACACATCATTACTAGAGGCATCAGCAATAATCAAAATATATATTTTTTTTAATTAAAAAAAAGTTTATTATTTAATTATAATTTATTCAACTTATTAATAAATGTTTATTTATTTAACATATCAATAAATGTTAATTTCCAACCTATTTTGGGTTAATTTTAAGCAAGGAATACAATAATTTTTAACAATTAAATAAAACTAAGTTAAATAAAACTACCCAGAAGATTGGGTTAAACATTTAACCCAACCACTGGGTCAAAACAGCCCAATCGCTGGGTTTGTCCATATTTCACCCTGTGCTGGGTTGTTTTTAACCAAGCTTTTTTTTTTTAGTGTAGGAGGACTGGGATATGACATGATATAGCTGAAAAATAACAGTATATGAGTGAAGTCATGTCACCTTTATTTCTATAGTGCTATATACGATACAGATAGTGCCAAATTGACTTTACTGAGATAAATAGGAATAGCAGAATCATTTATGGGAACTCAACTATGGAGACAGTTCAGATTCTGCTGTAAAGCAGCTCTACAAGACAATAGTTTCAACCAGTGTTAATATTGTTAGGTTCATTTTGATCAATTATTTTGCATACCTTCCCAACACTCAGAGGGAATGTGCAGCTACAGGCGAGTAAGAAGAATTATTTGAGTGGACAGAGAAATGGTGGTTTGTCACAGTTATGGACAGTGTGCTAGACATGATTGTGTTCTTCACTCCCAGCTGAGGACAGGCACAGATGAGGTCAATATCACAGCTCACTGCTCACATTTCTAGAACTGTAGCAACCCAGAAGCCCTCACATGCTTCCCTTCGCTACTGTGAAGCGATCTAGACTCAAGTGAGTTCAGTGAACCTGTGCCCTGATGTTTTACTTTTCAATGCAGTTGCAAATAATTACTGAGATGAACAAAGGTCCAAGATCTAGATTGCATCACATTGGGGTGCTGTGTGTACATTAATGAGGAAAAAAAATTAACTTAAATGATTTTAGCAAATGGCTGCAATATAACAAAGAGTGAAAAATTTAAGGGGGTCTGAATACTTTCCGTACCCACTGTATATATATATTCAGGATTATTTGATGAATAAGTACAACAGCGTTTTAGTGCCATGTTAAAAAATTATTTTTAAAAAATCTAAGAATATTTCGAGAGTATAACCTATATTGCATATGCAAATGGCCCAGATTGGAAGCACCGGGAGAAATTCCTAAATCTCAGCTTTCAAATTAATTTGTTTTATAGTTAAATATAAACTATTTGTTTTACAATAATGTGTTTTTCACGCTCTTTAATGTGGCGAACCAGTGTTAATATTGTTAGGTTCATTTTGATCAATTATTTTGCATACCTTCCCAACACTCAGAGGGAATGTGCAGCTACAGGCGAGTAAGAAGAATTATTTGAGTGGACAGAGAAATGGTGGTTTGTCACAGTTTTGGACAGTGTGCTAGACATGATTGTGTTCTTCACTCCCAGCTGAGGACAGGCACAGATGAGGTCAATATCACAGCTCACTGCTCACATTTCTAGAACATAGCAACCCAGAAGCACTCACATGCTTCCCTTCGCTACTGTGAAGCGATCTAGACTCAAGTGAGTTCAGTGAACCTGTGCCCTGATGTTTTACTTTTCAATGCAGTTGCAAATAATTACTGAGATGAACAAAGGTCCAAGATCTAGATTGCATCACATTCATTTTCTTTGAGATCTCTTGCATTCATTCTTTCTTTCTTTAATGTCTAATTTGTCTTTATTAGAGTGAAATGAGAAGACATGCAGATCACTCTCTTTTCTTGATTTGTATTATTGTCTTACTGTCTATATTGTCTATACATGTGAAGTTTTTGCCCTCTGCCTTTGCACAACTTATGTGGAGCACTCACTCGTCTTCCATCCAAAGGAAGGGAAAGTTGATTTGAGCCTTGTTTTCTTTCTTCCACCCCCCTCTCTGCATGTCTTGCTTGTCTCTCGTTTTCTTTCTGTCTCTCTTTTTCCAGAGTAGATTGATGAGTTGAATTCACTCTCAAAACTCTGAACAATGTTGTAGTGCAGCCAAACCTAAGCTCAAATTTCTTCTAAGCATGACAACATCTCTCCTTCTTTCATCAACCATCTTTTGCTCTTTCTCAATCCATCTTTTTATCTGCATTGCTCTCAATTCTCACTTGTTTTTACATCAGTCTGTTAGACTGTTATTTTGTAAAATGTGCACCTAATTCAAAGTCATTATAAAACCTTTTCAGACATAGAAAGCTGCAGGACACTCCCTTGTTTTAAAGGTCTAAATTTCCCTACAGTTGTCTTGCCTTACACCTGAGACACAGTGAAGTACCAGCAAACTTTTCTCTGAATGA